TCATGTTGATTTGTAATACGTCCTGGAGCACTGGGGTAGTTCAGAAGGCTGGAAGAAAGCTAACATTGTGCCCGTATTTAAAAAGGGGGTAACCTGGGTAGATATAGGCCTGTCAGCCTGACATTAATTCCAGGCAAGATAATGGAGCAGCTGATACAGGACTTGATTAATAAAGAAGGGTACTATAATTAATGCCAATCAACATGAAACATTAACTTGATTTTTTTTTATGAGATTACAAGTTTGGTTGATATAGGGAATAAAGTTGATGTAATAGAGTTAGACTTCTGTAAGGGGTTTGACTTGGTACCACACGACCTTTTGATTAAAAAACTAGAACAGTATAAAATTAACATGGTGCACGGTAAATGGATTAAAAACTGGCTGATAGGTCTCAAAGTGTAATTGTAAAGGGGGAATGGTCATCGGTTGGGTGTGATTCCAGTGGGTGCCGCAGGGACCAGTTCTTGGCCCTATGCAGTTTAACATTTTTATCAATGACCGGCCAGGGGTTCTCAAACTGGGAGTCGGGACCCCTCAGGGGTCGCGAGCTGTCAACCTCCACCCCAAATCCCACTTTGCCTCCAGCATTTATAATGGTGTTAAATAATATTAAAAAGTGTTTTTAATTTGTAAGGGGAGTCGCACTCAGGGGCTTGCTGTGTGAAAGGGGTCACCGTAAAAAAGTTTGAGAGCCACTGAGAAGAAAACATATAATATCACTCATAAAGTTTGCAGATAATACAAAAATTGGGGGAGTGACAAATAATGAAGAGGACAGGTCACTGATACAGAGTGATCTGGTTCGCTTGGTAAACTGGGCACAAGCAAACAATGTGCATTTTAATACAGCTAAATGTAAATGTATACAGATAGGGAGAAAGAATGCAGGTCATATTTATGTGGTGAACTCTCTCCTGGGAAGCAGTGACTCTGAAAAAGATTGGGGGATCATGGTGGATAGTCAGGTGAATATGAGCTCCCAGTGTGACACTGTGGCTGAAAGAGCTAATGCAATTCTGGGATGCATAAATGGAAGTCTTGAGTAACAGCAGAGAGTATTTTACCTCTATATTTGGCACTGGTGTCCAGTTCTGGTATCCACCATTCAAGAAGGAAATTGATCAATTGCAGAGGGTTCAGAGAAGAGCCACAAGAATGATTAAAAGATTGAGCTCCCTGAGTCTCCCACTATAAGGCAGGTTTTCCAAACTATTTAGTTTTACAAAGAGAAGATTAAGTGGGGGATGATCACAGACTGTAAGTGCCTTGGTGGGGGCTCTTCAGTCTAGCAGAGGAAGGTCTAATACGATCCACTGGGTGGAAGTTGAAGCTAGACAAATTCAGACTGGAAATAAGATGTAAATGTTAACAGTGAGATTCTCTATCACTGGCCATTTACCAAAACACCCAATCTTGAGCCAAAAAGATCTGCCCTAGGAATTATTTTGGGGCAGGTCTCTGGCCTGTGTTATACAGGAGGTCAGACTAGATGAACACAATGGTCCCTTCTGGATTTGGAATCTATGGCGTGGAGGAAGGACCGTGTGTGTGGGTGGTAAGGAGGGTGTGACACAGAATAAGGGCTCTGAGTGTGATACAGGGTGTGTGTGACACTAAAAGGGGGCTGAATTTGTGTGACGGGAGCATAAAAATTGGGGACCCATGTATATGACTCAGGGTGTATGACAAGGTGTGTGACACACAAGGGGGCAGTGTGATTGTGACATGGGGGGATAGGAAGTTCACTACGACAGTGGCTGTAGGGTACCTGAGAGATTGCACCATAGAAACTTCACACGGGCAGGGAAATGGCGGCCCCGGCCTGTGAAATTGCCAGAGCTGCTAGTCTTTCTGTGGAATTTCATGGGGTGGGGTTAGTTCCAGAAAACTTGAGATGCCATCAGCACAGAGCTCAGCCTATGGAAACAATGACAAGTGTCACCTGCCTTCCTGTATAACACAGCCCGAGACTTCAGCCAGTCACCGTTGTCTGTTTGGCCCAATAACTTGTATCTGACTAAAGCAGCTTCCAGAAGACCATTCAGCCTGGACCTGAATCCAGCGAGTGATGGGGAAGCCACCCTCATCTGCGTTATTTCTGGTTGGAATTGGTCTGGCTTTAGTTTCCAACCAGTCACTCTTGTTCTGTCTTTTCTCTGCTAGAGTAAAGGGCCCTTCAGCAGCTGGGATTGTCTTTCTGGGACGTGTAACCAAGTCTCCTTTCAACCTTCTTCTTGAGCAGCTAAACAGCCTGGGCTCTTTCTGTCTCTCCCTGGCAGGCATTTTCTCCAGCCCACGGATCATTTTTGGGTTGGGTTTTTTTTTGCCTTTTCTCTGCACCCTCAACAATTATTCAACATCCTTTATAAACATGGACACCAGAACAGCAGGCAGGAGTCCAGGGCCTGCCCCACCAACGCCGTCCCGAGAGGGAAAACTGCCTCCTACCTCCCTATCCAGCCAAAGGTCACTTTAGCCCTTGTTGCCACAGCATTGCCTTAGGAGTCCCTGTTGAGGTGTTTGTCCCCTATGCCCCCTAAATCCCTTTCCGCGTCCCTGCTTTCTAGGGTCCAGCCCCTGTGTGGTCGGTGTGACCTGCATCCCTTGTTCCTAGAGGTATGACCTTGCATCAGGCTGCATTAAACACATTCTGTTTGAATGGGCCCAGCTGACCAAGCCGTGCAGCTCGCCCGGTCTGGCCGCCCTGGCCTCGTCGCTAATTACCGCTCGGCTGGTCTGTGTGTCAGCCGTGAATGCTCTTCTCAGCTGGGAGTTTGTATTTCCTACCTGATCGCTGATGAAAATGAAGACTAGCGTCAGGCCGAGAGCTGGTCCCTGCAGAGCCCACTTGACGGGGGGCGCACGGACGACTGCGCTCGGAAAGCTGTCACGTAGCCAGCTGTCAATCCGCTGAACGTGTGTGTGTGAGAGAGAGAGAGAGAGAGAGAGAGAGAGAGAGAGAGAGAGAGAGACAATGGGCGTATGTGAGAACAGGCTGCTGGTGTGGGGTGCCCCACGGGCTAAGGGGTTTGTGGAGCTGCATGGGAACGTGATCCATACACAGTGGGGGTTCGATACATACCCCAGCTCCTTCCTGCCCCTCCCTCCGTGTCACACCAGAGCTGCCCTGAGGCTGATACTGGGGAGTCACAGCAGTTACTGGGGGGCAGCGCTGGTTGGGCTGAACAGCAGGGGCACATGCCCAGAGGACGCGGGCTGGGGGGCTGAGTCCGTGCAGCTGTGAGCCCGTTTCTGGTGTTCCTCTGGGGGGAGGGATAGTTCAGTGGTTTGAGCATTGGCCTGCTAAACCCAGGGTTGTGAGTTCAATCCTTGAGGGGGCCACTTGGGGATCTGGGGCAAAATCAGTACTTGGTCCTACTAGTGAAGGCAGGGAGCTGGACTCAATGATCTTTCAAGGTCCCTTCCAGTTCTAGGAGATGGGATATCTCCATTAATTTATAATGGGGGAGGGATAGCTTAGTGGTTTGAGCATTGGCCTGCTAAACCCAGGGTTGTGAGTTCAATCCTTGAGGGGGCCATTTGGGGATTTAGTTGGGGATTGGTCCTGCTTTGAGCAGGGGGTTGGACTAGATGACCTCCAGAGGTCCCTTCCAACCCTGATATTCTATGACTTCTATGCTCCGTCCCTGGTCAGGAGGCTGTCTGAGGGTTGCCTGTCGTGCTGTGGGTCTCCAGCACTGAGCTCTGTCCCCTGCCCGTCCTGGTGCTGACCCCAGCTGTCCCCAGCAGGCTCAGGCGCCCCGCGGGATGGAGGAGGACGAGCTGCAGGAGAAGGAGTTCTTCTCGTGGGAGGAGTTCAGCGCCTTCTTCGACGCCTGGTGCGAGCGCAGGAAGGTCCTGTTCTTCGTCAAGAATTCGGTGCCGCTCAGCAAGTGCAAGTGGGCAACGGTGCCCCCACGGCCCGACGTGGTGGAGGCCCTCAAGTACAGCTCCGTGCGCCTGGTCTGCAAGGACTTTCGCGGCTCCAGCAAGCCCGACCAGGGGTGAGGACCCACTGTGGGCGGAGCACGGGGGGTGGGCAGTTCGGTGGAGGGGCAGCACACGCAGAAGGGCTGGGGGAGGCACAGGGACACAGCTATGCAGGACGGTTCAGCACCAAACTGGGCATGTACCATGTTCCTCGTGGGACTCCTGTGCATCGTGGTGTTCACCAGAGCCCACCTGCAAAGCAGGGTCTAACTGGGCCAGGGCTTGGAGCCCATATCCTTGCTGTGTGGGTCTCAGGAGGGGGCACTCTCCCCTGGCAGTTAGTGCTGGCCCCAATGCCCAGGTGGTGCTAGGGGGCCTTTGCTGTGGAGAGCATGAAGTGGGGGTTGGTGACTCAGTAGAGGGCGCTGTCCCTTGGCAGTAAGTGCTGTCCCCGATGCCCAGGGCAGCACTAGGGGGCCTGTGCTGAAGGGAGCTGAGTGGCTGATCTAGATGTAAAATTGGAGTCTTCCTCGCTCGTAGTTAAAACGATCCCATGGAGAGTTCCCTTAAGAGCTGGGGTGAGAACCCAGGTATCCTTTTGAAACGCTAAGATGGCTAGTCTGTCTCCCTACAACCCCCATTTCTGTTCTCTGTATGACTCCCCTTCCTGATCTCAACTGTTGTGCATTGGTTCGGTGTGACTTTTAAATGGCCTTCATGTCCCACCCCAGAGGCAGCTGCATCGCAGTACCGGGCAAGGAATCCTGTATAAAGAGTCTCCACACCCCAGGCACGGGATCCCTCTGTAGCCTTTTCCTATGTCCCATTGGGGCTGAGGTGTGTGTGGCTGAAGGGGCAGATAAGTGGCTGTTGTCAGTGCGTGTTACCCTAGGCGGGTGAGGCTGTGATGGGGCAAAGCTTACGTCCCTCGGCACTGCCAGACTGGCTCAGCCCCAGGCTGCCTACCTCCATATCTGAGGGTGGCAGCACCTGCTGCTGCTGAGGGAGCTGCCCGAATCCCTGCAGTGGGGAGTGGTGGCATAACCTGCCCCAGGGAACTCCCCCCGGCTCCTGTCAGTCTGTGGCTGGCTGGGAGGTGGGTTATCTCCCTGCCCCGTTGCGGGGGCTTTAATCCTGACTCTAATAATTAATAACAGTCCCCAGCTCTTATCTAGTCCTTTCCCTCGCAGAGCTCACAGCCCTTTACCCACTGTACAGAGGGGAAACTGAGGCACAGAGAAGGGACAGGACTTGCCCAAGGGCCAGGGCCGGCTCCAGGCACCAGCGCAGCAAGCAGGTGCTTGGGGCGGCCAAGGGGAAGGGGCGGCATGTCCGGCAATTCGGCGGCGGGTCCTTCCGTCCCTCTCGGAGGGCAGGACCTGCCGCCGAAGAAGAAAGTGGCGCGATGGAGCTGCCGCCGAAGGGCCGCCGATTGCAATCGTGGCTTTTTTTCTTTTTCCCCACCGCTTGGGGCGGCAAAAACCCCGGAGCCGGGCCTGCCAAGGGTGCACACCAGGCAGAGCTGGGAACAGAGCCCAGCTTTTTTGTGTCCCAGTGCAGAGCTCTATCCAGTAGGCCACACTCCCTCAGTAATGTTGGGTGTTCTTGTTATCCAGACAAAGGCCCAGCCCGTCTCTGAGCCCTGCTCAGCCCTGGCCCAGCGCTTCCTTGTGGTAGTGAGTTCCCCAGGCTTATAGCACTGTGGGGGAGGGATTTCTGCCTGTCTCATTGCCCATGTCCTGGTTCCTGCCTCATGAGCGAGGGGAGCAGAGGTACCTGTCTCTGTCCCAATCGATGCCATGGGTCCCTCTGTCCCATCCTCTCCATGCAGTAATAGCTTGGGCTCTTCAGCTCCCCAATTGGAAGCCCCCCTCCCAGCACAATAGCTGAGTTCCAGCTGGCGTGGCTCTGGGGTCTCCCCAGGAGACCTGCAGTGGGGTGCCCTCACCCCAGGGCAGCGAGCCGGTGAGCCAGGCCCCTACTATTAGGGCTGCGTGGAGGCTCCATGCACACAGGTGTATGCCCTGGTACCCGCCAGGCATGGGGTGAGCATAGGCCCCACCCTGCCAGCTCCCACAGCTGCCTCCTGGCTCATGGGTGAGGCGTGTGCTGGGGTCCCAGCCTGCTCAGCCTCTCTCTCTGCCCACAGGGGGCAGCACAAGGGCTGCTGTGCCAGCATTGTGCTGAAGATGAGCCCCAAGAAGGACCGGCTGATCGTCACCGAGTGCCAGCTGGCCCACAACCACGCCCTGTGCCCCATCGAGTTTGCCTACTACTTCAAGAAGGGCTACCTGATGGCCAACTCATGCTTGCCGGTGCGCACCACCAACAAGATCTCCAAGCAGTTTGTGGGGGGGCCAGACGTGCGGCGCCTGCTCTCCTACTGCAAGAGCCGTGACCACGGGGTGCTGGACGTGCTGACCGTGCTGGACGGGCTCTTCGCCAGCGACCCCAGCGCCAAGGTCAAGCTGGTCTTCATGGAGGACAAGGTCATCGTCCAGACCATCTTCTTCCTGAGCTCGCGCATGATGGCGCTGAGCCGGCGCTTCCCGCTCATGTTGTTCTTCGACCGCATGGTGGGGCTGAACGAGGAGTTTGACCTGTATTCGGTGCTGTGCGTGGACGGGGCGGGGCGCGGCCGCGAGGTGGCCTACTGCCTGACGCAGCGGGAGACGCCCGACCTGCTGCGCTTCACACTGGCCTCGCTGGTGCAGAGCGTGCCTGAGGTCAAGCTGCAGGTGCGGTGCATCACGCTGGGCGTGGAGATTGCCCACCTGGAGGCGGTGAAGGAGCTGCTGCCCAATGCCCGCGTGCAGATCTGCCGCTCCCAGGTACTGGAGACGCTCTTCAGCAAGGCTCAGGAGCTGGGTGCCGCCGAAGATGAGCGCATCTGGCCCCTGCTCTGCCGGCTGGCTGCAGCCAAGTCGCCGGCCGCCTACCAGCAGGCGGTGCAGGAGATGAAGACCATTCTCCCCCAGCGCTTTGTGCGCTACTTCCAGCGCCATTGGCAGCCGCGCAGCGAGATGTGGGTGCAGTTCTGGGCCTTTGAGACGGCCCGCAACGTCAATGCCTGCGAGCTGCTCAAGCAGCACCAGCGCCGGCTGCTGGCAGCCCTCAGCCCCTCGCCCACCGTGGCCCAGTGCATGCTGGACCTGCTGGCCATGCAGGTGGGCAGCGAGGCCCACGAGCTGGACGAGGGAGAGCTGGCCACGCACTACCGTGCCATCTGCAAGCCAGAGCCGGCTGGACTGATCGAGGAGGAGCTGGGCTTTGCACGGCACGGCCGCTACCGCTTCCAGGAGACGGCCGAGGGCTACCTGCTCCATGACGGCCTGTCCGAGTTTGCCATGGATCAGGCCCTGACGCGCTGCTCCTGTTCCATCTACACCTCCAGCCTGCTCCCCTGCCGCCACCTCTTCGCCACGCGCCTGCGCACCGGGCTGGCGCTCTTTGACCCTGGCCTGCTGCACAGGAACCGGGCAGCACTGCTGGGCGCATGCTAGGGCCGTGGGGCAGGGACTCCAGCTGCTCCGGGTGCTTACTGTGTAAGTCAGGGGGCCAGGCACTGGTGTGGGGCCGGCTGCACATCTGCAGCTCGCACAGCAGGGGAGAAGCCAGCCCATTGCCACGATGGGGGTGCCCTGCGATGACGTCAGGATGGAGGGGATACCTGGGTGCTGGTCCTGTTTGACTTGTTTTCACAGAGAAGAGAAAGTGGCAGGTGGTGCTGTCCTGTAGCTGAGAGCACCCACAGCCAGTGCCAGGCAGGGACCTCAGTGGGTTGGGTGCCCATCATGGGCTGGGTGCTGCTGTCCCATAGCTCAGAGCACCTGCAGCCCAGGCCGGGTAGAGATCCCAAGGTGTCTGTGTACCCATGGTGGGCTGGGCACTGCTGGCCCGTAGCTGAGAGCACCCAGAGCCCCTGGCAGAGGTGGGTGAGTGGATGTTGCCATGTGGGATGTGACACTCTGGGGTGTCTGCGCCTGCCGAGGCGGGTGGGTGGATGATGCCATGCAGGGTGTGACACTCTGGGGTGTCTGTGCTGCAGAGGTGGGTGGGCGGATCATGCCATTTTGGGTGTGACGCTCGGGGGTTTCTGCGCTGCAGAGGCGGGCGGATGATGCCATATGGTGTGTGACGTTCTGGGGTGTCTGTGCTGTCAAAGGTTGGTGGGTGGATGGTGTCATGTGGGGTGTGATGCTCTGTGGTTTTCTGTGCTGGCAGAGGTGGATGGGTGGATGGTGCCATACGGGGTGTGACACTCTAGGGGTGTCTGCGCTGGCAGAGGTGGTTGGATGGATGATGCCATGCAGAGTTTGACACTCTAGGGGTGTCTGCGCTGGCAGAAGTGGGTGGGCGGATGGTGCCATGTGGGGTGTGACACTCTGGGGTGTCTGCGCTGGCAGTGGCGAGTGGGCGGATGGTGCCATGCGGGGTGTGATGCTCTGGGGTGTCTGCGCTGGCAGGGGCGGGTGGGTGGATGGTGCCATGTGACGTGTGATACTCTGGGGTGTCTGTGCTGGCAGGGGCAGATGGTGCCATGTGGGGTGTGATGCTCTGGGGTATCTGTGTTGTCAGAGGTGGGTCTGTGGATGATGTGGTGTGATGCTCTCTTTGTACAGAGAATACATTTTATTCAATAAACGTATATTTTCCTTTTTTGACCCTTCCTGGCTTACAGCTCCTCCCTCAATTCCCTCGTGCTCTGATGGCTCTGTGGTTTCCTTCAGGGCCAAATCTGGGGCTGCCCAGCTTGGTGCACATTGCTGGTGCCAGGGCTCTGAGTCAACTGGTGCCATGCCCCCACCCCTCTCCAGCTGCTGGCTCTTCTCACAGTCTCAGCTTTCATTGCTTTAAAAAGTCCGTATCTAGAGGTCTGGGTGTGTGGAAAAGATCCCAAAGTGCCCATAGCGTAAGTGCAGGGACATCTGCCTGGGCAGCTGGAGAGCTTGGCCCCACTCAGGTAGGGGAGGTGTGACCTGCCCTGCTCAGCTCCAGGATGTGGTAACAGCTGCTCAGTGCCGATACTAATTTCGATGTCAGCTCTGGCAACTGATTCATGCCATGGGACAGTGGCAGGGTCATGTCTGTGCCTTGTCCTGGCAGTGACGCAGGCCACTGCTCTGTCACCCCCAGGACGGAGGAGCCAGCAGAGTCCCTGGCATCTTCAGTGCCCACCGAGGGGCTGAGCCTGGAGAGCCACACAGTAATGGACTGGACCTCTGCCCTGGGCAGCATGCGCAGGTGGCTTGGCCTGGCGCTAGCCCTGGGCAGAGCGGGAGGGGAGCAGCCCTGGGACCCCTGCCCAGCACTGTGGCCAAGGGGTTCCCAGGCAACAACATGGGGATTTCAGGAGCTGGGCAAATAGGCCATGCGGGGTGGCGGGTGGGGCAGGGACGCCATAGGGCACCATGGGGGAGTGCTCCGGGGTGGGGGCAGGGATGCCATAGGGCACCATGGGGGAGTGCCCCAGGGGCTGTAGATTGGACGGGTGGGGGTTGGAGAGTGGCAGGAGTGAGGCTACATTTCCCACCATGCCCCTGGGTAGGTGAGACATTAGCAGGAGTGAGGCTGCATTTCCCAGCATGCCCCTGGGTCTATTTGGCGAGCCTGGAGATTCTTCTGCTACCAAGACTACATTTCCCAGCGGGCGTAGCGCGCTCGTTTTTTGATTGCGTGCGCAGCGCACGTCGGCTGTTGTGACGTCAGGAGCTCGGTGCCTGTCGGAACGCGACGGGTTGGATTTTCCCCGCGAAAGGGCGGTGGGAGGCGCGAGCCCCGGGTTGGAATTGGGCGTGAGACCCGCAGGTAGCCGCGCGCGCGCGCCGCGACGCCCCCTCCCCCGGCCGCTGGAGTGGGGACTGTTGGGGGTAGAACGTTGAGGGCCAACGACCGCGCGCAGCGCCTGTGGGGCAGAAATGGCGGGAAAAGGGGCTGCTGCTCACCTGCCCCATCCCCTCTTCCAACGCCCCCTGCGCTTCTCTCTGCCAACTGCCCCTCCTCCAGCCACCTGCTCCCCCAGCCATGCACCCACACCTGGCCCTCAATCAGGCCACCTGCTCCCCCAGCCATCCCCACCCCCTACACCTGTCTCCCCCCCACTGCCAGGCAGGACTCCCAGTCTGGTCCAGGGAATCCAGTCTGTAGCAATGACCCTGGTGCTTCCCAGGGGGCAGCTGCCCCCTCTGCTCCGTGCCCTGGACCCTGGCTCGGGGCTGAGCAGCGGGAACTGGGCTCAATGCCTAGGCAGGTGGTTTCACCTTCCTGTCAGTGCTGCAGACTAATGCTTGCCCTGCTCTGCCCCAGGTTCAGTTCTTGGGCCAGCTCGGGGGCCTCTCACCTCTGTCCCCTTTTCTGCCTGCAGCTGGAGCCGCCATGGTGGAGGGGCGCTGAGCGATCCCTGGTGCTTGGCTCACAGGTCCCAGAGCAGCTGACGTGTCAGAAGGGCTTTGCATCTGCCTGGCCTGCAGCGACAGCTCCCCCCACACCCCACGATGCAGCGCCCGATCACGTAAGTAATGCCCCCCGGGGGGCTGGAGCCTCGGCACCCCCTTGCTGCCCCACTAGTGACAGGGGAGTGGTGAGAGAGCAGGGGATGGAGAGAGGCTGGTTGTTTCTTGCCAGCCCCCTGCCCTCGCACCTCCATCCCCGTGGCAGCAGAGCCCGCCTGTGCTTCCCTGCCCCCAGTGGCATGTCTCAGCCCACTGGGGAAGGCACAGGCCCTGCCTGCGCTGTTAGGTGCATTGCCTTTCAGAGCTGAGGCTGGTCCCTGGGTCTCCTGGCCTGTCTCTCTTGCTCTTATCCTGTGCTCAGCGCTGTGAGCACAAGTACTCGAGTGTCTCAGAGCGCCTGCCCTGCAGAGACTTCCTGCCCCCCAGAGCTCTGGCCACATGTGCCCCCTGCAAGGTTATAACATGGCTTACAGCTAAGTGAAGCATCGACAAGAGCTGCTTCTCTGCATGTGTGGGGTGATGCAGTGAGCCCATGGGTGGGGCAATGCAGCAGTTGTTCTGGGTATTGCTGGAGCACTGCAGGCCCTTCTGTTGGACCTCCATGCAGTTAGAGAGCCTGGGGCTGCCAATGCAGGGCTTTCTCTCGTTGTACTGCAGCTTGTTACCTGCCTGACTAAATATATCAAGTGGCTGGTGGGAGCCTTGATGGGCTCCTGTGCTGGGCCAAAGGGATTTCCTTTCCTCAAGAGGCTGTCTAGTCTGCCTATGCAGGGGTGCTAGTCAGGCATTTCTGTCTCTGTTGCTTTGGCCAGGTCATTTTTCCAGCCCATGAAGGCAGTGAAGGAGGAGGAGAAGATCAGACCGCCAGCAGAAGAGGACTCAACCAGCCAGTGAGTTACTGCCAGGCTCCGTTACGCACCATGAGGGGCAGTTGGAGTGAGGTCTCGCTGGTGTTGGCTCCGGGGCCATCCTCTCTGACCCACAGCTTCGTTACAGGGTGTCAGAGGCAGCTGTGCCGCAGAGAAATGGCCTAAGCCTCTGTGTGGACTCCCCAGTGAAATCCACTGCCAAGAGGCCCCTGCGTCGGGTCTTGGAGAGCGACAGTGACGAGGAGGAGGCCGTGCTGACAGCCCAAGCAGAGGTTTCTCCCATACAGGACAAAAGCTCAGAGAAAGCTAGCAGCAAGCAGGTATCCTCTGCGCACTCCCAGTCTCTCCCCCTGAACCCCCATGGTGCCCTTCACTTGGCCTGCACCAGCTCAATGCCTCCTCCATGCCTTGCCTTAGTGCCCTTCACTCCAGTGAGGTTCTGGGCTCCCTCTTGTATGTGTCCCCTAATGGTAGTCCTGCAGTGTGTCCTGGGCAGAGTGCCTTCTGCTGGTGGGAGAGGTACATACAGTACAGTGTCCTCTGTGCTGCTACAGAGACCTGTCTGTGTGTGCCCCCTCCCTCCACTTGGAGTTCTCCTGAAGGTGGCTATTGTGCCCCCTGTATCTCTCATAGGCCTCCTTGGAACCCCCACCCAAATTTCTTCCAGGATCCTGTTGAAAGGGCCCATGCTGGCCCCTCTCTTGGGGCTGAGTGCTGCTCCCACCCCACCTTGCCCAGTGCTAGTGATACAGCCAGGTGGGTTGTGGTTTGTGTTCTATGTCTCTGTCCTGCCTGTAGCACTCTTGGGGGGGTTGTCTTTCAGGAGCCTATGCAAACTCCTCAGTCTGATCTCTCTGCGGATAGCCCCTCACCAAGCAGTAGCCACTCCGCTGGAGACAGCCCGGCCCTTTCTGACTCCCCTGCCATCGGCCATGCTGGCATCCCCAGACGCAGGACCGGTAAGGACCCTGCCCGGATGTGATCATGCCCTCACTCTCTTGCCTTGGGCACTCTTTCCAAGTGGCAGGCCTCTACCTGCACTCTCCCAGAGTGGGCCTCCATAGTTCAGCCCACTTTAGGATGGATCACCCGGCTACCAGGGCCTTATTTCCATTGTCAGGGGTCCTGAGCAGGTGTCTTAGGCCCCATGCAATCAGGGAGAATAATAGTCAGTTATAGATGACTCCTTGGTTCTTCTCCAAAGGCTCTGGGTAGGACAGCCACAGGAGACGGGCTGGATCAAATGGGTCACTGCTTCTGTGGGACAGGACGAGTGACCTTGTGCTGGTGCCGGGGCTCTGTCTCCACTCTTGGCCTGACTCTACACCAGCAGGGAGCCTTGCCTGCGTGCACACGAAATGGCCCATAGGGCTCCCCATGTTATTGCCCTGAGCAGACCCTCTTTTGTGTCTCCTGTCACAGTGCCGGGCAACTGTGCCTGTATTCCTCCTTGTGGTCCAGCAAGGGCACTGACTAGGTTCCCAGCTCTCCAGCCATCGCTTTTCTTGGACAGAGACATGCATCTCTCTCCTGCCTGACCAGTGTTTTTCCAAGCTGCACATGATCCCTGCCTGCCCTGTGTTGTTCCCAGAAAATCAGTCTAACCAGTGTCTGTGTTCTGCTTGCTCTTCGAAGGCTATGAACAATATAATTGCCAGCAGTTAATGTGTTGCGCTCCCCCTGGGCCATGCTTTGTTGATCTCTCCTCATTAAATCCCAGCCATGCTGCTGGTTTGCCTTTTCTCCCTTGAGCCCCGACAGAGACCTGCCCATGTGTGCGTTCACGGATGGGGTCCTGGTCTCTAGGAGATGTTTCTCTGGTTGCTGTTCTCCCTTCCTTTTGGCTTTCTGCTGGCTTGGGCTTCTGTCTTTCTGAACTCTAAGTCTTGGGGAAGGTTGGAGCTGGTAGAGCAATGTAGAGTGAGATGCAGTGTTGGTGCCTCTCTGCAGCACAACTGTGTTATGGCTGCCACGTTCACTCTGCCCACTAAATCACTCAGGCCTCAGCGTTCACGAGGGCCTGATCTTGGGTGCCGAGCTGTGCCCCATTCTCAGAGGGGCCGAGCACCCAAACTCCACTGAAGTCAGCTGGAGAATTGAGGGTCACCTAAAGCCAGAGGGGCCTCTGGATGAGTTTGGCCTCACTGGGCGCTGTAGGTGACTGTGCTGGCCTGGCATGCTCTCTGTAACCCAGTGCTGCTCCTGCTTCTGCACCCTGCCACTTGTTCACCTCTGGACTCCGCACCCCCCCCTTTTCCCACAACTTGTCCCGGTCCAAAGGCTTGGGGCAGGCTCCAGAGACCCCTCACAGTAGTTTGCAGGAAGCTGACTCTAACTTCTGCTCCTC